CTCCAGGGCAGTGGGAGGCAGGCTTTGAAGAATGAGTTCAAATTTGCTGCTAGTACCAGAGAAGCCTCTGCCAGGTTTGAAGGAAAACCTGAGCAGGGGGCTGATGTCACTGTAGAGGAATGCACAGGCTCAGAGAAGGCACAATTTGCCTTTTGTTGGACTATAGACCTGGAGGCTTCCTTCCTGTGGAGTCCACGTGCTGTGCAGTAAGACTGTCCTTTCTGTACACCCCCATCTGCATGCCTTTCTTTTTTTCTTTAAATTTTTATTTATTTTTGTGTATGCGTATTGTGCCTGCACTACGCCTGTGTTGCGTAGTGCCCACAGAGGTCAGAAGACGGCACTGGGTCCTCTGGACCTGGAGCTATGGACAGTTGTTAGCTGCCATGTGGGTGCTGGGATTCGAACTCAGGTCTTCTACAAGAGCAGCCAGTGCTCTTAACCACTGAGCCATCTCTCCAGCCCTCCATGCTTTCCTTACTGGTTGCTATAATTAAAATTTTTTATTACACTTATTTATTTTTGTGTGTGTGAGTATGCATGCCACAGTATGGTCAGAGGACAACTTGTAGGAGTCAGTTTTCTCCTTCCATTATATGGGTCCTAGGGATTGAACTCAGGATGAGTGGCAATCCCCTTTACTTGCTGAGCCATCTCAACAGCCTTGCTGCTGTCATGGCCCAAGGGCTCCCTTGTGGTTTGGTCCCTCACCAACCAGCTCTCTTTAGTCTTTACCTACACGCATGCTCATTGCTTCTCTGGCTTGCTGACATTGCCAGGCTTTATCAAAGTGTAGAATTATTTTATAGACCTATAGTTTTCATTCATTTAAAATCCACAAGGCTGAGCTGTCTACCTACAAAACTGTAATTAGATGTGCTAGGAGGGAAAAAAAAGAGAGAGAGAAAGCAAGCAATCTACTTTGAAAATGCTCAGTTCTGGCCAATTCAGATCGGATGAGCCAGCAGAAGCTGGGCCAGAAGACATTCACGGTTGAAGGGCCAAAGCAGCTCATCGGCCAAGTCTGCAACCAGGAACACAGCCTCAATGCACCTGAAAGCACTTCAGATTTATTTAAAGCTCAGGGTTTGTTTTTGTTTTTGGTCTTTTTGAGACAGGGTCTCCCTGTAGCCCCAGCTGGACTGGCACTTGATATGTAGACCAGGCTGGCCTTGAACTCACAGAGATCTGCCTGCCTCTGCCTCCCGAGTGCTAATATTAAAGGCATGTGCCCCCATGCCCAGCTAGAGCTCAGTTTTTTAAAAAAATTTATTTTATGTGTATGAGTGTTTTGCCTGCATGGAAGTGCACACGTGTGCAATGCCTGCGGAGGCCAGAAGAGGGTGTTGGATTCCCTGGAACTGGAGTTACGGATGGTTGTTAGCTGCCATGTGGGTGCTGGGCATTGAATCTGGGTTCTCTGAAGAGCAGCCAGTGCTATTGATGGCTGAGCTATCTCTTCATCCACAAAAGTGGCCTCCCACAGGACAAAAGAACAAATATGAATGCAGCTGGCAAGGACAGGATTCTTTTCAGCTTTAAAAAAGAAAAAAAAGCTGGGCGTGGTGGTGCATGCCTTTAATCCCAGCACTCAGGAGGCAGAAGCAGGCGGATCTTTGTGAGTTCAGGGCCAGCCTGGTCTACATAGTGAGTTCCAGGACAGTTGGGCTACAAGGAGACCCTGTCTCAAAAAGACGAA